AACTTTGTCTTAACCTTGGATTATGAATGTCTCCATGCTTGCGAAAACTTTTCTCCCCGTTGATTATGTACATTGTGACGGTTAGTGTGTGTGCTTTTTAACTGAAATGTGAGCTCCAGTGCTTGCAAAAGTTATACACAGTACAATACAATCATTCGAGTGAATATTGTGTACGGGAAAAAATGAAATATTTTATCTTTCCCTCAATCGAGGCAGTTATAGTAACTAAGGCCAACCAAAGTGCACGTCATACGTTCCATTTCTACTGTTAGTTGAATGGAATTTTCTGATACATGCCAAAAGCGATACATATACACACCTTGTAATCACAATCTATACTACGTGTTCATAGACGATCGGCAAACCAAATCCTTAAAAGAAAACTCATATCAGTGATACGAGGTAAGGAGTAAAAATTTCATAGGACCACGCCAAAAACAACGCCTAACACAGTTTATATATATATATATGTATATATATATATATATATGTGAGTGTGTTTGAAAACCTTAAGCATATAAGGTATTACATTGATCGGATAACACAAAAAACACTCAACACTCAACGGAGAAGAGGATCGCAGGTTCAACTTACTGGATAAGGCGACCGTTTGCCATCGACGATCGTAAAAGGTGGATGCTGGGGCCCCATTGACCAACTCGTACAGCTTTAACAGGCTTGGCGATCGAACAGGTGAGAACGCACTGAGTGCTACCCCGCGCTGACGGAGATTCTCTAAAGGCCCGGTGAGCTTTGACCCGACGGTGGAATCGTGATCGGTACCGTTCACATGCGGCGGTGCATCGGTTGATTCGGATTGTAAGAGTTTATCCAAATTGATGGGCGATACGGCAAGAATGATTAAATGGCGCTGAACCTGACGGCATAGGCCACGTCGAACTCGATCGATTGCATCGAAGGCATGCACCGCAGCCTGCACTAGTTCGTGACCAGGTGTACCTTGCACAGATTCAGTACGATCACTGGCGTGACGTTCCTCGTGTTGCAGGGTGGTGGATTGTTTTAATATGCGATAAATGATGGGAGTGTCTGGGACCCAGGTCACGAAATCAAGTGGTTTGCGCCAGTAGAACCCGTGCAAAGAATAGAGTGAAGTGTACGCCTGAAAAGAACACAGGGATGTAAAACAGTCAATGATAGTGATACAGTGGAAAACGTGAGGAAGAACCAAGCTTTGTACCTCAATTGACGTGATTGACAATAATCCACAAATCGATTACGCGGTGAGTAGTATAAAATTTACAATACAGGGGGATGAATGGTGTTCCACAAGTCTGTTTTCCTCTAAACATCAGAATTTTAAAGACAACAGCGCCAAACAAAGGCCAAGACAAATAAAACGACAGTGGCTCGATGTGCGTACACCAGAACCGACGAGAAAACAATAAGAGAAGAATGATGACACCTAAGAGTTTTGTAGTATGAAAGATATCCGCGGTTAAAAGGTTGTCGGTAGCGTCAATAGTTGTATATGTGAAATAGGCAGTTTCAGTTTGAACAACAATCAACCGTGCACTTTCATGCTGCCCGTTCTATTGCTGTCCTTTAGCTACCCAGTTGGATGAGGGAGTAGAAAACTGGAATGCTGAAGAGCTAACGCGAAATTGAATATGGGAAATTCATGTAGACTAGGGTTGCAAGGACAATGAGTAAGTAGACGGCACTATTTACGATACTCGTGAAATGGGCAGCTTTATTCAGGAAACGTTTTAAGAATGCGAGCGAAAAGAAAGCCATTCCATACATAAGAACACAAAATAGTTTTCCTTGCAGAAATATAAAAAATGCCGACTTGAAGAGTAATATTGGAAAATGGGGTAGACATGATCGCAAGGATAACCATCAAAACGCCAAAATCTCTGGTTCATTTTCGTAATGGAACCTGATTGTAACGAACGACTAAAAGCATCAGACCGCTTTTACGTCTCATTATTATGCCTCGTTACATGATTCTTATGCAATTATGTTTACCCCTTTGTCGATCGGTTTTTTTAATCTTCAAGGGAAGGTGGGCTCCTATGACGGGCCGTAACAAGGACGAAAAGGCAGTTGTGTGATTTGTATCGACCGTCAGAAACAAATTACATTGGGAACAAGAATTGCACTGCAAAAGTGAATCGCAATTGGGCTCCGACGGAGTGAAGCTCACAAATAAACAAAAGAAGTGTTCGTTGTATACAGGATGATATCCCAAAACACCTAGAATTTTTTTTCAAACAGCGAACAAGTGCACAACTCTGGTGATAATCACGATTACCAATGCGCGGCGAAATACAGAACTAAACCCGGCGAAACTCCTACTGTTCTAAACGTAAATCAATTGCTATATGAGAAAACCACACAAAAGCACTTACATCGCGGCCAAAGTCTGCGTTCAGTGGAGGTCCACCGTTGAGATTACTAGAAGGAAAATACGTACGATTGGACAGATATAACAGTGAATAGGACGGATACAGAACGAACACAGCAGAATCCACAATGATTGATTGTGACACAAAGTTTGAACCAAAAAAACACCCTTTACTACTGATTTAGAGCAGTCCGGCTTGCCGCTTGATGCAGACTAACTGTCAAGTTAAGAGATCACAAAATGCAATCAAACCTATGAATATCATAATCATCATTATCATCAAACGCTTTCAAGTTGATATAACACATAAATTAGGCAAGAATGGATAGGAGGGGGGGGAATAAAAAAAGGTGAAGTGGAACAGAAAGAACAATCTAACGGTGGATATATGCAACCATCGACCTCCTTGTAACACCGCTCACAGGAACAACGTAGTTCACATTTCGCATTTTGCTTCACCCGGAACAGATTTTTGCCAATCTGAAGACGAAGCTTTGAAACCGAATAACTCTTTTTTATTTTTTATGTTTGTTTTCCTGAACCTTTGATCGATCCATTTAGCAATGATCTTTGATGTAAATCTCAGGAACTGCGGGAAATCTAGTTTTGGAACGCGTGGTGTATATTTGTACCTGGCTTGGCCAACTTGATGGTGATCAAGTGTTTAGGTCGCCAAATTGTGCCCCGGAAATCCCGGGTTCGAACTGCTCCACCGTCGCCCGTCTTCCCTATTTCTGTATTCTTCCAGGCAACTTTACTATGGGTGCGGTTCCCTTCTTGAAAGTTGAAGACTGTATATTTGTATATCCCATAAATAAAAAGCAAGTACAAAATGACATTTTTTATTCTGCTGCGAAGTGAAAACAGAAAATCCTTATACTATCAGTTCACGGTAGCACAAGAAGATTCGGGGTCCTGTTATGGTAAGTATGCCGGATGTCCAAAACGTCGTATAAGAAACCAGCACTAAATAGTTCAGCATCATTAAGCAATACGAGAGTCATTGTAATTGGTCGTCGACTCGGTTAGCAAAGATGACACGTGCAATCGTTTGTTGAGGACCGGAGAAGAGTACGTTCATTCGTAATGCAGTGTGCCATTTGACCTCAAATCAATTTGAAGTACAACGCCATATCCATTTTCATTCACCGTTTCCAACAGAGCAAGACGGCTGTCTATTATCTTTATTTCCCTTCGATTTATTAATACACGATATATTCGCGAACACGATCTGGCGCTTAAGCAACGGATGCAGACGGAGTCAATAATTCCTCGCCACTGTATTTATACTTGGTAACTCGGAACAAATCAATGAATTTTATATTCTTGGAAAACATACGCATCAGAATTGTGAATATCAGTTAATTAGCATTTCTAAACGTTCGTACTTCAGAATAGGATATATGAAGAAGGGTTCCGCAATAGGCGACCCAGATCACGGGAACAGCATGCTTCGTGGAAATCGACACCAAAGGGTTTTTTAATAATCTTAACCGGGACTTTTGACACCAAATTCAGATTAGCAAGGTAGCGAGAGATAAAGGGTGGGTGGTACCAACAACAATGAAACCTGACTTCAAACAGAAATGTCTTAGCGCGAGGATAGGGAGAGATGCGAACAACTGATGTGGGCATCGCTAATCAGTTACAATAAAACGCTCAGGCCGCAAAACCAAAGGTGAATAGGAATTATTGTTTACCACAATTTCCAAATCAATCGCCAGACATGGTTACCAGTATAAGTTGTACGTAACTTGAGGGTCTCTTTTCAAATGTATACTCGTAGAAAATTTTCGAACGTATTCTCTGTGGTGGTGGTCTAAACCACTTTCACTGGCGAGCTCCGAGTGTTAAGGTTCAAGATGCGAACCCCGCTGTTACCAGCCCAGTAGTATGTCTATCTCACCGGAGCCTTATGGATTTAACAGTTCAAACTTTAGGGGTTTGGTTTCCACAAATCGAGATTAGGTCTGCGTGAGTGTGAGATTGAACTCTGCCCACGGCTCGTTGAACTAACATGAGTAATAAATATAATACGTGATCCAGAAACCAAAGGGCATTTGACTCATTATATATCAGTATTTGATTTACAATTGAGTGAAAACCAGCCATGACAGCGGACAACTTAAACCCTGTGATCCAAAGTGGTGAATCCCGATAGGATTGGCTGAGTGGCGAGTTGAANCTAGATTATACAAACGGGGTCATAGCTCATCCTCTACTCTGAACTATGACCCAGGTTATGGTTTTCCACTACCGGAAAGTAGGTGTTAGTGAATGTGGATTTCTATTTTCCCACGACTGAGTAAACTACGGTGTACAATAAAAAAAGAAAAACCAAAGAAAGTTAATTACCTTAATATCGGACATAAGTATTGCTCACGAAAATGCTTCATGAAGGAGGTATCACAATTGAATGGACGGCAACGTTCCAACATAATAACGCAGTCCACAGGACACAGTTCAGCAGCGTAGCTGCGCATCGCTTCCACATAGGCGTTTAACTGAGTGCTTAGGGAAGTCGGTCCATCCAGAATAGAATCGGAGGGCAAGTCACTCAAATTGGATTTCGGACTGATTTGTAAGTCTGCATTTTTCAAATTTGTATCACCCAAATCCAAAGAGGCCATGGATTTGGAGGAAGATACGGAATTGGCAGAGTTTGCATTTA